TTTTGCAGAGAGAATTGAATGAGAGATTGGGGAGAGAGTACACTCAATAGCTTAGAATAGAGAAATCGAAAAAAAAAGAAAAAAAAAAGGAGGGAAGTAACGACTGTGGGCCTCACACATCAGAATTCAACCGGAATTTAAAAAAAGGTAGTAATCTGCGTAATTAATTAATTTAATGGGTGGTATTTTAAAATAAAATTTTTAACGGGTGGTTATTTACAAAATGAATCTATTTTTGGGTGGTAATTTTAAAAATTTCCCAAAATTAAAACCCCCACCTGAAAAAGCCCCAAATTTTCTCCCCCTTCCCTGGCGGAGTAGCACCACCAGCCAACCCACCGAGAAAGCCCCATCATTCCCCTTTGACGCTAGCAGCCCTTACCACTTCTGTCGCCGTCGACGATAGCAGCCCCTACCTTCCGTCCCAATCAACCATAACAATCCCCACTCCTTCTCCATCAACAATAGCAGAACCCACCCGTTCCTGTCGACGAACATCCTCTTAACTCTAAAATTTTAAAATCTTGTTAGTGGATCCCTCACACATGATTGCAACATCCTCTTAATATGTGAGAGTGTCTGATTAAGGGTTAATTAAAATGAATGTGTCGCTTAAAAATTCCTAATTAAACTTCTTTTGTGTTTGTTTTTTATAATTATGTTATGATTAATTGTAACTTAAGAATTTAAACACTTTTGATAATTATCTAGACAGTTATTAGTGTTGTTTATCTTATTGGTTTGTGATACATGTAAATTGTAAACGTAGGTAAGACAAAAGTAAGATATCTCACAAGAAGTTTGAGCACCCCAAACATGGTTCCCTTGAGTGAGGTTTGGTGTTCGCATGGTGTGGGTCAGCTTGGGTTTCGAGATCCGATGAGGTATGGGTCAAGTGAAAGAAGGTAGGGTGGGGTTGGGTTTTTGTGGTAGAAGGGTGTAGTGGGCGGACCAGGTGAGGTAAGGTGGGTTAGGTGGTGGTGTGGTGGTTATTGTAAGGTGGTGCGCAGGTTGTGGTAAGGTAGTGGTCATGGACTCATGGTGAACAACCATGAAAGAGGTGGAGGATGGATAGAGGAGAGAGATTAAAAAAAATTAACCTGATATACAAGTTGTAGGTAAAAAGGCTTATTTTAATCGGACGAGGGTCAAAGGTGGGATTGTTTCTAGATTTCGAAAATGTGGGATTGTTTTGAGCATAATTGGTAAAGGTGGAATTATTAGTTTCCATTTTTCTTTTATTTTATACTCCTTCCATCTTAGAATATTTGAGACGTTGGACTTTTTTCACTATTCTTGTATTTACTTTGACCATAATTTTTTAATTACTAATATAATTAAAACATATTTTGTCAAAAATATGTTGTTAGGTAGGTATTAATATAAAGTTTCATAATATAATTTTAAAAATAATTTTCATCATTACTTAGTTATATAAAAATAAAGTCAAACTAGATTGACATGTGGGCAAAGTTAACTATGTCAGATATTCTGGGACACAGGGAGCATAATGATAACTTAAATATTGTTAAAGTAACTTTAGCATGCCTTACAATAAGTTAATGAAAATCCATAATATTTAAGCTTTTGTAATATCCTTATTGACTTGATCGACTGGACTCAATCTACGTTTCGATTGTTTCTAAGCATAGATAAGAAAAAACATTATTCACAAACTCAATCCAACCAACACGGGTGATGCTTAGCCCAGCAATGTGCTGGACCAACACACCAATGTTATGAATATTAAATGCTTTTGGTGGGCCCCTATCTTGTATTGGTGTGTATTTTGTACTTATGAACTTGTATGCCCCAAATGTATACATTGTTGGCGCGCTTTCAAGATCGTTACAACAAGTTGGTCCGTTATTTTGCAAATGGGGTTGATTTAATTCATGCAGAGACATAGATGAGAATCCAGGGTTCTTCATCTCATCTTGTTTAGCTGAGCTACCCCATTTTCATTCCCATTTTCATCTTCATTCCCCATCTTCATTCTCGTTGAATCCTCATCTTCTTCAGCCCCCCATTACTTTCTCCTAATTTGTTGTATGAATAATAAAGGGTTTTTGGGGTTAAAGATGAAGGGATAAATTGGATAATTGGGGTAAAAGCGCGTCAATTGTGGTTTTTGGAATTAGATATGTTAAGTGACTCTGTTCTTGGGATTAACTTGATTATTCGATTGGTGTATTTTTGGAATTGAGGTTTGCTCTGGAACATATATTTGTTAATCTAGCATGTTTTGGGGTAAAAGCGCGTCAATTGTGAGCGGAGACATTTACAATTGTTATTTTGGATCTGGAACATATATTTTTTAATCTAGCATGTTTCACAAATGACAATATTAATTATCACAAATGACAAAACTGTTTATGACAGTGGACAATATTGTTTATTGCTAAAATGATTGGTTAGCTAAAGTTATAGGTTAGGTTAGGTAATTAATTGTACATACAAATGCCATTAAAGTTTGAAATAAAACAATATTATTTATGAAAGTAGACAATATTGTTTAGCTAAAATTATTGCTTAGAGAAAATTATAGGTTAGGTAGTTGGCATTAATTGTAGAATATAATATATTGAAATCTCATGAAAGTTTGAAATAAGAGTAGGATTGCTTTTAAAAACTTACAAACATGGCTTGTTATGATCACATGTGATAGAGTACTTGTTATAGATTAAATGTGATAGATAAATTGTTAAATGTGATAGATTAATTGTTAAAGATTGATTGTTTGTCACACATATTGTTAACTTATGGAAAAATAATTTATTGAAGGTTGAGGCAGTGATGTTAAGTTCAGAGGTTGCAGAAGATATTTGTGTATCATTGTCTCATAGTGATGAAGGTGGTGTAATGGATTTGATAAACTTTGAGGAAGGGTCTATTGTTGATATTGGTGAATTATGTCCATATGAAGGTGGAGTGGGGATGGATAGTGATGGTGGTGATGGAGGTAATATGGTGAATCTGAACATAATTAAAATAGACCCACCTGAAGTGGGAATACTAATTTACGTCATATTATATTTGAGCTAAGAACCAACTAATCATGATATTTGATTCATGGGAATAAGCTGATATGTACTATAATGCATTTGGAAAGCAAGAAGAGTTTGGTGTGGTTCTTACCAAAATGCATATAAAACTCTGAAAGATGGTCACAAGGTTAAAAGGGCTATTACATGTAAGTGTGAGTATGCAGGTTTTTCAGACACCGACCCGAAGGAGGGTTGGTGGGAAAAGATTACCTAAGGAGTTGGAAGGGGAGCCGTTTGCAACAAAGAAGTAGAAAAAATGTGGTTGCGAAGCCGGGGATGTATGCTGGTTTAAAGAATCATGGTAAGTGGGAGATAGTAATAAGAGTGGAGTTGAAGCATAAACCCCATCAGGTATCACCTTTAAAATCAATGCTAGTGACAAAATACAGGTTGAAGGAGTTAGAAAAGATGCGGTATGTGAGGCGTAAGCTTTATTTTAGGGACGGTGTGGGGCTCCCCTCTGCTACTATGCACAAGTGGTTGGCTAGTGAGAGAAATGGAGTTGAGAATATGCCCTTTACTAAGAAGGACGTGAATAATTTGATGTCTAATAGAGAAGAAGCTAAAATTGAAGAATGGGGACAACAATGCTATGATGAATTATTTCCTAATGATGCAAAACGATAATAAGAACTTCTACCACATATATCGGTTGGATGCCAATGGGGTATTTCAAGATGTGCTTTGGGTTGATGTGCGTAGCAAAACTGCATATGAGGATTTCGGGGATGTAATGTGCTTTGATACGACTTTTTTGATGAATAAGTACGACTTGCCCTTTGCAAATATTGTTGGAGTAAATCATCATAGGCAAACAATATTACTTGAATGCGCACTCATATCCCACGAGGACACTGAAAATTTTACATATGTATTATTTTGTTATTGTTTAATTTTGGTTATGTTGATCTTGATTAGTTTGTTTGTTGGTCTGTTTATCTCTTAACTAATTGAACCATTCTTTAAATTAAGAAATGAGGTAACCATGTCAATATTTTTTTATCCTATTCAACCATTTAGTTATTTGCTTAAGATAAGTAATAATTACACTTAAGTCAAATGAATGTATAATTTTAAATTATTATAAACAAAGAGAATGACACTACGTTTGTTGGTTTGATAATGAAATTTGGCAAATTGTTTATATTAAATTGTAATTTTATGATTCTGTAATTCTTGATATATATATTTTGTCATATTAACGTTTATATTGTTATGTTGATATATACACTCATATATATATGACAAGATTTTGCATTTTATTTATTTATAGTATATGTCAACAGGTGGTTGTTCAACACTTGGCTAGATGTTGTTGGTGGTAAACCTCCCGTTGCTATCTTGACAGATCAAGATCCTGCTATGCGCAAAGCTTTGAAAGCAATGATGCCACAAACAAGGCATAGGTGGCAGGGGCGTAACCAGAATTTTTTTGAAGGGGTGGCCGGCCTAATTGATAATGTAAAAAAAATACCTCGACAAGTCTTAAATGCATATGTAATTGGGTAAAAAAAAAAACCAATAAAAACCATTAAAATAAAAGGTATGTAAAAATTTGAATTACAAAAAAAATAAAAAACTAATCACTTAACACGAGCTCTCCTAGGTTTCATAGAATAAAAGTCATCTATTATTGACTTTATTTCAAATTTTCCAGCAATCTCCTTCTCGATATACACTAGTAAGTTATTGGAAAGAAAGTCATCTTCCATTTTTTTTCGAAGACTAGTTTTCACAATTTTCATTGCCGAGAAAGCTCTTTCTGTAGTTGTTGTGCTAACCGGAAGAGTCAAAATAAGTCGAATCAATCTATCAACTAATGGATAAGCAACTGATTTCCTAGTATCCAACAAACTTCTACACAAATCGGTAATGGTACTCAAGACCTTCATATTCGGGTGATTAGGAACATCACAATAAAATTGTTGAAGTCGATACTTCAAATGTGCTTTTTCATACTCTGAAAATTCCTCCAAGGAGACAAATGTTTTCCGCATTAAAGTGTTTATATCCATCAATAGGACTCAAAGACGCACTTAAAGTGAGTAGCGCTGATGTTCGTTCACTAAAGAGACTATTTAGATATTGCAATTGTTGATCTACAGCTGCATTAAACACATCCACCCGATAACGATGCTCCACTATTATGGTGTATTTGCTGCGCCGAGATCGAATTATTTCAGAATAAGCAACTTTCATATCTAGTACTTGAGTATCATGTTTAAGGCAGAATGATTGTACTTTTTGTAAAAGAGATTCCCAACCGTTATCTCTATAATTTTGAATCAAGGATTTTATACCAACAACTAAATGCATAGCATTTAAAATGTCTTGTGATTTATGCTGCAAAGCTCGACAAAGACCATCTGTATATCCCATACGATCTTCCATAAGGAGTAAAATAAATACAAAATCAAATGCTACCAACTTTTGTAGAGCAGATTGTGCATCCCCGCGTTTAGAATATGATACCCGATGATCAATGCCTATTTTTTCAAGGACTGAGCGAGTTGCATTGTACATTTTTAATAGACTATAAATTGACTTATAATGAGAGCTCCATCTAGTATCCCCAGGACGTTGCAACGTGCCAATTTGGTTCAATCCTTTCGCTGTTTCAATTTCCTCAATCTCAATCAAATTATCCAATTCAGCTATTTGGCTAGCTTGTAACTCATCATGACATTTAGAAGCTAAGAAGAGCTAACAGTGTTAACAATAAAAATTAAATCTTTAAAAAAATCATGTACATAGTAAGCATAGCGACATTCTTCCATGAACAAAGCCTTTAAGCAATTCCATTCTCCTCGCATATTACTAGCACCATCATAACCTTGTCCTATAAGGTTTTGAATGCTCAACTCATGGTTAGATAAAACCATAGAAATTTCTTCTCTAAGAGTCTTAGAGGTAGTATCTTTGACATGTACTAGCTCAAAAAACCGCTCTCTTAAATAACCATCTTTGTCGGCAAACCTTAAAACAATAGCCATTTGTTCTCTTTTAGATATGTCTCGAGATCCATCAACAATAATATAATACTTTGAATCACCAATTTCCTCACGAATTTCTTTTTGCACTTTGTTAGCAAATACCTGTAGAATCTCTTTCTGAATTGCAGGAGATGTATATTTAGCATTTTGTGGGGGCATTGTCCATCACAACATTACATACATCTTTATTATACGATGCTAAGAGTTTTAACATCTCTAGAAAGTTTCCTTGATTTTTTGACTTTGCGCTTTCATCATGTCATCTGAATGCACAATTTTGAAATGTAATCCACCGCACCACTTCAATTGAAGTTTTTATTCTTAAACGATTATCTTCAATCATTTGTGGATTAGGTATTTCGAATGCCTGATCAATGTGACCTTTAGTTTTCTTCAAATTCTCCCAACATAAAGCTGAATATCCATGTGTTGAATTGGTATCTTCCCCATATGAGATAATAAAGAACACTCTTTACCCCCAACCTTCTTCCAATGTCTGAATCCTTGAACTGTAAAAACATTTGATCCGAATTTTCCTAATGGGTCTTTTGAGAAAAGGAAACATGGAAAACAATAAGTTGCATCGGTTGTAGGAGAATACTCTAGCCAAGGAAATTTTTTAAACCAATTAAATTGTAATCGACGTGGGTGATCTATCGGACCCGAAGAAGGGTATTGAGATAAGTGAAATTGATAAGGCCCGTAATGTACGTATGCATTGACAATATCTTCCTGCTCCTTTGAAGGGTAACTATCAATTGATTTACGTAGAGCTGAATCACGCATCAAAACTGTACTTCCAATATTAAATGTAGGTTGAACTGTAGATGGATTTGTTGATTGTTCCTTATGGGTCTCCGGATTTATATCAACATTCGTTTCGACAGTCACGTTAGGGGATGTGTCTTCAATGTTTAATTCGGAAGGAGGTTTTGCTTTCGAAAAATAAGAGTCAATTGTTATCCTCTTCATATTTCAACCTAGAAATTCATTTCATACTAAAATAATACATAGTATAATTGAGTTATAATAGTTATTTATACAATCTTATTTTAATTACTTAAGTTTGATTATGTAAAACTAATACATGTAGTTAAAAATTAAATAATAAAATTTCAACAATAAAACACAAAAAATAAACAAAAGAAAAAAAAGAAACCGAAAACATACCTGGACGAAGCACAAATCTGAAGAATTGAAGGATGTATGTATATTGTGAAGTATCCAATGGGTAAATAATTGTTTTAATAATTGTAAAAAATACCTACCCTATATGCATATATATATAGAGAAAAGTACTTTCACTTTTTGATGTTTGATAGGAAAGTAACAAAATAATATTTAAGGAGTATAAAAAAGTGAAGTCAAAGATTCTTTCCTTTTTTTGGTTGTGTGATTAGCCGACTAATGTGGGGGGTGTTTTTTTTTGTTTTTCTTTTTTGTTTTTCTTTTCTTTTTTTAAAATTTGGGCTCAACATTATTTTTTTTTAGCCAAGGGGGTGGCCATGGCCCACCCCGACCCCCCTAATTCCTCCCCTGATAGGTGGTGTTTGTGGCACATCACAGGGAAATTTGGTAGCAAACTAGGCAAGTGTCAAGGGTATCATGACTTCAAGGATGAGTTGAAAAATGGTATCATGACTTCAGAGCAACTTTTGGCTAGTTGGTTTGTATTTAGAGAGAGAAATGTGGATTCCAGCTGCGATGAACCATTTATTTTGGGCTGGAATGAGGACGACCTAGAGGTTTGAAAGCATTCACAATTTTTTTGATGAATTTTTTGATAAAATCCTAGGACTCTGTGATTTTGCGAAGAAGTATGTTGCTGCAATGGAACAACGTATCCAATCGGAAAGGTTGGCAGATGCTAATTCGGCTATTTACCTTCGTGGATTAGTCACAGATTTTAGGATTGAGGAGATCTACAGGAATTTATACACAGATGTAAAGTTTATAGAGGTCCAAAGGGAGTGTCAACAGATGATGTACTGCAATGGCAGCAACATGAGAGAGATATCAAAAGGTTACTTTGAGCACTTGATAGACGACAGAGTTTATGTTTGGAGTGAGTTTGATAAGAAGGAAAAGCCGATTGGCAAGTTCCGTACTTATTGTGTTCAATTTTTTAGTGAAAACAAAAGTGTTGAATGTGAATGCAAGTTATTTGAATGTTGTGGGATTTTATGTAGATATTGCATCAAGGTGTTAGAGTTGTAACAAATTTTTGATGTGCCTAGTATGTAATATTGGATAAGTGGCGTAAAGATATTTTTCGAAAGCATATTAGGGTAAAAGTTACGTTTTATGATCCAACAAAAACTGTTGACTTAGTTCGTTATGACAAGATGATGGTTGTCTTTGAACCTATTTCAAATCTAGCAAGTGACAATGATGAAACAATGATGATGGTAATTGAGGGTTTCAAAAAACAGGAGATGAAAGTGAAGAAGAAAACTGCTCCTACCCTTCCTATGAGTAGTGTTGGGGAGACAGGGTTTAAATCCACTCTTCCTAGTGTGAATAACACTATGAGGGCTTTAACATTTGAAACTCCATCATTAGTTGGTAAGAGTGGGGTTGAAGGTGTTGTTGTTCACGGCGGGAAAAAGGTTCAACAACTTGGACATCAAGATATTGTTATTGGGTTAATTAAGGATCCTCCTAGCAAGAGCGGTGTAGGTATAATTTGTTGTACTAGGTTTATGACGACATTTGAGAAGGTGACAAGACAAAAGGAGTTGCGAAAGAAAAAATATAAAGAAACAAAGGCTCGTGAAGAAAGAGAAAAACAAAAGGCAAGTGACAAACAAAAGAGCGATGAGTGCATTGTTAATTCAACTGATCTTGTGTGTACTCAGGTATAATTCAAAACCTATAGTTTTATACAGGTATGTCAATTACAATTACTTAAATTTACACTTTATCTTGGTAATAAATCATACTTAAGGGGTGAAATGTATTTGGTAAGCTACCTGTTTATATGTTGCCCAAATTGTTACAGTTACATTTGTCTAAGTTCATCCTTAATTGTTGTAGAGAACATGCTTTTTGTTCATGATGAGTTCATCGAAAGAAATTATTCAAATAACGAAGGCATCTAGTCTGTAGATACAGAGAAATGGTCTACAGTGGGGCTGAACTTGGAAAACCACAATTTAATAATTTGTATTTGCTGAACTTGTTGTAATCATTGTAATGTTAATGATGGTTGTAGTCAGTTAGAATTTGTTCTTGTGATTGTTAAATACTGCTTTAATTGGACAGATTGTTTAGTTAGATCATTGCATGCAATTTTTTAAGGTCCCAATATTTTGTAAAAATATGACAATATATAACAGCAATATGATAATATGTGTAGACACCCATTTGTGTCTCCCCAAAACCAAACCCCGTGATGAGTACCTTTCACGTCGAATCATAATCGAATGAAGTGAAAGTGTGGAAAGTCTAGTGTTGCAGATAGTTTTAAGTTCTTTTCTCTTCTCTCTATTTTTGAAAACTTATTTTAAGAAAACAGCCAATCCAGTTTGGTTGGTCCATGATATGGGTCCAATAGTAGTGTAGTTGGATGGGGCTTGCAAAAACCTTTCCAACGATATATTATAAGCCCAATTCCGATGAATATTGAGGAAGTTATGGCCAATTTACCAAACTGGGCCTGGTTTGAGCTTTATGTGCGGCCCAATGATCTAGGGGAGGGCCTAATATGATTTATCATTCCTAATGCAATTAGGAATGGTTTTAGTCTTCTAGAAGGTTCTTTTCATTCCTAACTCAATTAGCATTGATAAATTGACTTTTGTTGACTTTTCAGAGTTTTAACTAAAATCAAATAGCATTTTCGAGGAAATTATATGATTTTATCCTCCAGTACGACAAACTTATCTGATTTTCGAAAACGCGTTTAAAACAGGCCTGGTGCCTGACTCTAGGCATTGGCGCCTGACACCATCCATTGACGCCTGGCGCCAATAAGCTGGTGATGGCGCCAACTCTGTTTTAGGTGCGCCAATCTCGTTTTGCGTGCGCCAAGTGCTCTGTTTTGATATTTTATCTTTTTGGCTGATTTCTCTATAAATAACGTATTAAAAAATCCGTTTTGATTCATCGATTATCATCATCATTCACCAATTCTCACCAGTTATCATCAACAATCAGTTTTAATTAGTATTGACCTACAATCAGTTTTCATTCAATTGATTCTCTCTTAATTCATTCATCTCTTTCTTTCTTTTTCTAAACTTGCTTTTCAAATACAAAATTCCGCATTCATTAGATCTAGAAACACCTAGCCATATTCGAAGTTGCCTTCGCCCTAGACGTGAAAGGTTTAATTTCTGAGGGTTTGGTCTTAAATCTCTCTTTCAATTATTTAATTTAATTGTTTGTTTATTATTTTCCCTGAAGTTACTAACGTGTGTAATTTGTTATTAGAAAGAGGTACGAGGCATCCAAGTAAGTACTTTAATGGTTTTTATCGATATTATGTAGAAATCATGCTTAGGTTGTTATTATGATATTCCTAGTATCATGTCTAGGGTAGCTTTAATATCAAGTATGATTAAAAGTATGATGCTTCCTATGTTCTTCCTAATATTTATGATTGTTAGTATCATGTTAGGGCTAAAGATTTGATTTTTATTGCTTAGTGACATGCTAGGGTTTGTTATTAATATTGTTAGTATCATGCCCAGGATCTTGCTATTATTATTATGCTTTAATGTTAACATGAACATGATTATGATTATAATTGTTATAATTTATGATGATTATGAATATTATTATTATTATTATTATTTTGATGATGATATTTATTATTATGATTATTATGCTCCTTGATTATTTATAATTATTGCTTGATCACGCCTTTTATGCATGTTTAAAGGGAATTGGTACTTGTAATCATGCTTAATAAGATAATTAATAATCTTGTTTAGGGTTAATGTGATTATAATTTCAAGTGATCACCAATAATAAATTTATTTGTGCATTAAATTCAACCAACATAGATTAAACATGTTTAGGGTAATCCTATTGATTGCATGTTAATTGAAAAGCGCACATGAATACGATCAGAATAAAGTAGAGGCCTATTATTAGGGCAGGTTCAATCTCTTTTAGGTTGGATTTGTACCTTCATCCCCGAATCCTTATTTGGT